TACCGCCTTCCCACAAACTTCCTTTCCACCCACGAAGGGGCCAATTGTTGCCACCTGCAGCTATTTGTCCTCCATTATCTGGTTGTTATTTGGAGGGACAAAGTTGGGAATGGGAAAAAATTGAATTAGCTATAGAACTCAGTAATCATTGATACGATAAGATGAGGTCCAAAGATGTAGACAGTAGAAACAAACATTTTACTTTCGTGGCGCACTTTCATGGCTAAACGCGCCACGTGCTGCACAGCGCCACGATCCATACACAAGAGACCATGGTTTCCTTCACTCCTTAAATCTATCTAGTCACAGGACCGACGAAGTAAAATGTAAGCTACAGATGTCAATATCTAAAAGAAAGATAACAGTTCATTTAAAGATACAGGCAATGAGATCTCACAGACAATGCGATGAGAAACACACTTGTTTTACAGACGAAGCGTGGACATTCTTTTGTTCTCCTGTGGTTAAATAAGGTCCTTTTTTCTCCCTCTAGGATGACTCCTTCGAGGTGGATTTTTTATGACGATTTCCTGGACTGTTTCTCTTCATTTTGCCACAGGTAACCTTGACACCAAAATGCCTCTGAAACTGTTTTTCAGAGAGGGGAAACATTGTGTGGACGTGTGCAAGTCCACACAACACTATCGTACCCTGCATTATTTGGACTTCTTTTGTGCAGAGGTCCACACTGTGTTTCACATTCAACCTACCATGTGTGATTTTTGCTATATCCCCAGTAGTTCGTGCATACAACCTTTCGGGAAGGCTAGTTCAGTCTTCACTATAAAATTGACGAACCTGTTGAAAAGATGAGCACTGTGTCTTCCCAGAGTCCTAATTGGTCCATCGTCTGGGTGATGTTACCAATCCCTTCATCCATACACGCCACCATCCCAGCATAAATCCTCCTAAATTTGTCTTGGATGTGCGAATATGGAATCATGTACTGCTCTGGTACTTCCAAGGGTGAGTGAACAGCTTGGAACGGCAGATAGAGAAAAAATGGCTACAAAAAGAAAAAATACAAGCCTATACTTTGAGTTCAGACATATAATTCATAGTGTCACAAGCAATGTTTGATATTGTTTTTTGCTTTTAGTTTTGTTTTGTTTTGTTTTGGTTTTTTTTTGATTCGCGCTAAATTTAATTTAAACCTACTGTAAAGTTGGCCCGTTAATTCATGTTGTGCATATTTGTTTATCACTGGGATTGAAAGACAAACCTTGAAAATTTCGATGATGTCTTGGCTTCTAAACCTTCCTTTTTGTTATTTACAAATAATGAATTCATAATAGTAAAGTAAATCGCCTGTGCCCGCCTATTTTACCTTATTCGGAGTTTGGCTGTGCTGACGAATGATGTCTTGCGCTCGTTGTGTAAACACCGTGGTCGAGTAGTGACCAGTATAGTTCCATGCAACTATTTCATTCTCCCTAAAATCATATCCTTGCCATGCAGTGTGGGTATAGTAGTCTTGGCTTCCAAGCAGAAAACCTTCACATGCATAGTTGGGCCGCAAGCAGAGAGAGTGATTCAGATTGGAGATTCACTACAGTCCTTTGTATGTTTGTCATGTTTTTGAGGACTACTAGAAAAATATAGGACAGATTCTACAGTCGCAACGCACAACTTAAAGATCACTCTTACATTTCTTAAGAATTTATACCACCATTACCAAACTTAAATGAAAATATCAAACAGAAACAGAACAAAATCGTGTAAAATAAAAAAAATGTGGAAGTACAAACGAGCCTTACCAAAGTAACTATCGAATCCGCGACGAGTCGGCCAGCAAGCTCTCTTATAAATCCCAAGATGCCATTTGCCCACAATATGGGTGGCATATCCTAACTCCTTCAGTTTCTGGGCCAAAGTGACGTCATTAAGGGGTAAGCAGTCGGGTTGTTCAGGCCAAATAATCCCATGTTGCAACCCAGTATGGATCTAGGGAAGAAGAAGTCTGTACAGGTTATGACAATGCAGGGAAGACGTCATTTGAACCAACACGCGGTCAAAACCTGACATTACTGCACTTCAGTAGCAAATTCATTCTCATCGGTTGTCATTGGGAATTTTAAAGAGACAATTGATCAGAATTAAATGAATACGTCTGAAATAACGAGCAATGAGTCCTGGAAAAGGGTAAATTTGCTTTGCGTCACATGCAACAGAGAAGCAATGAGCATTAGCAAGCAATAAAATTTAGAACGTTGACGAATTATGAAAGCCCGTTAGTGCAAAAATTATTATTTTTCTTATTTTTTGGTTATTTTATTTATTTACTTATTTTTTAAATATTTTATATATAATTTTTTTTTCTTCATTTTCCCCTCATATTTTTGGAAGACATCATGGCTGCTGCAGCTCCGGACAAACGGAATCTACATTATGGCGAAATAATTGCTTCTCTTGCTTGTAATCATATCAGTCTCAGCCAGCGTAACTTACACCGTAGATTGCCAGAACTTGGCCTTTTTCGCCAAAAACACCACACAGACATTGTTGATGTTGCGTGTTTAATAGAAGGGCAGTTGAGTACCTCAGGGCAACTTTGTGGTTATCGGTGAAGGCACCTGAGAGTGCACTCACGTAAACGGGCCAGAAATATGTCCGCCGAGCTCATGAATAAAAGTTATACACTCAAACTATTCTATATTAGAGCGTCCTGAGAGCCATGGAACTGGAGGATTCAAGAAATGTGGCACTAAACCTCAGGCCCGGACTCAGGGCTTCCAATTTTGAGCCGTTTGGATGCACTCAGGTCCGAAAGTGACACTATTTAGCCGTTTTGCAGAGGAATGCATTTTCAAAATGGCTACTTATCCGGGCAGTAAAATCTCTTTCATTTTAGGGGTGGTCTGCTCTCGGTAAGAATTTCTCAAAAATTCATTGGTCAACTCAGTAAAAATTGAAAGAAGAATGAAAGAAGACATGTCGAACATCGTTTTTCTGTGCAGCCTGAACACCTGTGAGAGTTGTGAGTATTTTTGAAAAATATTTGTGAAGTATGGGGATTTATCACTGCTGTTTATGGGAACTGATTTGCTGCGGTGCACCCCTGAGATCCCTTCAGAATGGTCTCCTTGTAAGCTGAGAAACGGTGTGCCATCTTCTGGGATTACTAGACCCAGAGGGAGTCGAGCAAAGAAAGCGACGGCGGCTACAGAGAAGGACATACAACGGAAGAGCCTCCCCCCCAAAAAAAGACAATGCCCACGTACCAAACCTTCGTATCGTAAAGTTTCGAAAAATACACCCCCCCAAAAAAAAGAAATAAAAATTAATAAAAAAATACAAAAATTATAAAGCAAAAAAACAAAACAAAGAACACTTTTTAAGTAAAAAAAGAAGAATTTAAAAATCTAAAAATCAATTTAAAAAAATGGCACTAACGGGCTCTCATAACGAATAGCAAACTAAACATATACTCTTTAATGTAGCAGTCGGTTCTGCTGCATCCGTTGGAGGTGGGTCCGCCCACCAACTAAAGGCAATGCAAGGCTCAACAACTAAAAACAGACATCAAAGTTCTCCTGGTCTGCTCCTGATTCGATAGATGATCGACTAAAAGGGAATCAATGGGTCAAAGGTTATATAGATTTTAATTAAGGCATCAGATTACCTCACTTGGAAATCCACCTACCCCTACATTAATATTCTCCATAGTAAAATAGCATTACGCAGTTATAGTAGTTCTTTACAATATTTTCAGCACAAAACTCCAATAATTTCCCTCACTCATTCTACACCTACCTGGTATTTTCCACTCATAAGCTGGCTTCTTGTTGGTGTGCAAATGGGCTGAACGTAATAATTCTCTAGTTTCACACCCTCAGCAGCCAACTTGTCCAGGTTGGGCGTTTTGATCTCCGAACCATGGTAACCGATGTCACGGAAACCATAATCATCAGCCAAGATGAAAATGATGTTGGGCGGTTTGCAGTTGACAGGGTTGACGATGATCACAAGGAAAAGTCCAAGCAAACAGAGAATGGAGAAAAGGAGCTTAGCTTTAGGTTGTCTGATGGTAAACATACCTGCAAAATAATGCATACACAAAAATCGATTATTTAGATTAGGATAGACAGAAATGCTGGAATAAGCCTTCGATCTTATTAAAATGAGGAAAGTGTTTACATAGCCAGTTTACATAGCTGTGTAACCGGTTTAAATTGAAACTTTTCGAGACCCTTTTGAGAACGAAGGGGTCCTTGAGGACATGGTATTGGGAATGGAGAAATGTTACACAAATTGTGACGATCGCTAAAATTTGCCTCCGTATATACGCCGCGTCATACATCGCTGGTCCCATCAAGCCACCTATACTAATTACAGACCAACCTGAGAGATTAGTACCTTCTGGTATTAGAAATTAAAAAATCAGAAAATAAGCCGATATACGGCTTATTTTCTGATTACATACATGTGTAATTCGACGCCGGTCCCACTTGTGTGGCCTAACTTTACCACTTTTTGCTATTTTGTGAAACATGTATTTAGAACTGGCCTTGTTCTGAATACAGTGTACATTGTTTCTTTTAAATTTGCACTTACAGATTTGCATCAGAGGAGTAAATTAATTTTATTTTTTTTTAGATTTAATTATGCAGCAAAAAATGTTGATGCACACTTAATCTTCAGAAAAGTTGAAATCAGCGTTGGCTTTTCAAATGTACTTTATAGCAAAAGGGTATTTTCCTTTTGGATACTCGTTTGGTGTTCTACGCACGAATAAGGAAGACAAGAAATTGATTGGAGCGATTCCCTGGATACCACTGTAGTCATCCGTATTAAAATCCACTACATCCATAAAAGAAACTAGTGTTATAAGCAAGTGATGCTTTATGTAACATTCCCTAAAACGATCATTCAAAAAAATGAACATTAAAAGGGTAAGGCATTTAAACAAGTTCGTATAACAGAAAATAAGTCATGCATTTTCAGAATAGTGGGAACTATATATTTAAAATTCTCAGGTATATACTAATGACTTCATACATGTATATTTATAACCGCAAAATGTTCTGAGATCACGTTATGTTCAACTTTCACAGCGAGGGTTCTACCACAGCAAGAATATGGGGGAATCGGTTCTATGCCTCCTCAAAGGAGCAAATTTTTGTTAAAAATAATAGCAAGGCGATTCTTTTGTCCATTTCATTTCCCTACCTTGCAAAAGCGTTTTAAAACGCCAAACATGTGGTGTCACCCCTCAGAAATGTCATAAAAGGCTACAGAAGAAATTCCAGAAGAAACTCCCCCCCCCATTTGGTTTTGGATCTGCCCTCCAGCCAGAGAACACGTTCCAAATCGCTATTTTCATTGAGCCTTACCGGTACCTATTAGGAACTTACAAAACTGAACACAGACGGTTATTTTAAGATATTTATTTTCACTTCTTGGTTCAGTGGTCACAATGTGCATCTACAGATCATTTTGGTTCGGCTATATAGGCCTATTTTAATCATGCAAAAGAAACGAAAACTGTTGATTAGAAAATTAAATGAAGATGGGGGCTTCGTAAGGTAGGCCCTATGGCACAGAATCACAAAGGTACCATCTCAGGGCCTGCGATATCATTTCGACGCTAGTCCACTAGCAAATTTGTCTTTTCAAATGAAAGGTGGCTTGACATTAGACCTACGCCTTCCAGAAATGGACAGTATTTCATTATTATTGGTGGAATCACCACTCTCTCACCTTTTTTCAAAAGTTTTTCAACGTCGTCTATGAGGGGGATTCGGGACTGAAGAAAATTCACACTTTGGCAAAACAGGATGGCTCCCCCGCTAACGTTTACAAAGATTATGTTTCAGAATGGCCATGATGACAGACAAAGCACTAATGCCCTGTGTTTACCTTCTGTATCCCAGTCAATAATGCACACACTAACCCGCCATCGCAACACAATTCGGTATACGGAGACATGATCAGTCCATGCAGCAATAAGAATAGTCCTTGCTCAATGTTCCGTCTGAGTGGCCCTTGGAGCGCGCACTGACTGAGCTTACCCATTTTCGTGGATCGATCATCAGACTTCTCAGCCCCTGGTGTACGGTTGATCTCGTGTTTGCTTCCTGATGAGAAATCGCATTTCCGTCACCTACAATGCAAGCTTTCTATTCAACTTATACCCGCCAAGATAAGGAACGAAGGGGTACCCCCTACATGTCCAAACTCTATAGACTGTTGTTACCTAACACATCCTCCTTATAAATTCCGGTCCGACCAACACAAAAGGGTGGAAGGGGGGGTTCTCTCCGTCCCACGTGACGTTCTGGTCAGCCAAGCACTGAGGAAGGACGGACCAAGCGCTTACAGCTTAAACACGAAGCAGAATGCGTGCACAAGTCACAGAATCCAATCCTCAGCTGTGCACGAAATAGTGTTCGAGAGTTGACACCTATAGTATCAGCACAGTCACCCCAATCACTAACTTCAGGCTTTTTTTTGGGGGGGGGCGGTTTCTCCCCCCGCGACGGGTCTGGTTTTATTAGTCTGTAACCGTACATTGGTTTAATACGTGCGTCTTCGTTCATTTTAGCCTCCGCAACGCACTGTGCCAAGTGTTTTATCGCATCGAGGTTGCTATGACTCCAATCCTCTCATTGTGACTTTCCTCATTTTTGTCGTATTCCATAAATGCCCATGCGCATTTTGAGGTATGCCGACTTTTCTGTAAGCTAGTCAGTGCATATGCTGTTGGAAATTTCCTAATTCATCAGTGGGCGGGTGTCCACTGAATTTTAGATGGCAAGAGACAATCACATTTACATGAACTTCAGTCATCAATATCAACCCTCATGATCACTGCGATGAAAGGACACCTTGAATCACATGATAACGTTCGCAAACGAAGAAAAGATCATATCGCCGAACAGGCCTTTATTAGGCAGAAGCTATAAAAAAGAACAACTTGTGAGTTTTGATTTAAAAAATGGCTGCAGTGATCATTTATGAGCAAGAACAAACGTAAATAGTTTCATATAATCCTAAAATAAAAATCTTCCGTATTTTTCGTTGTTAATACACAACCATATACCAAACATGAAAATCACTACAATGATATTATGAGAAAGAACTACTTCCAATGTTTTGGACAACCAGGAGAACATTCATTACATATTTAGAGCTGCATGGAAACGTTTCCATAACAACTGTCCATCTTACAATGAAATTCAAATTAAAAATCCAAGAAAATACTTCATTCTTACAGAATCAAGATATTTATTTGTTACCCATGATAAATTACATCAGATCTTAATTTACACACATTAGCATATTTATTTATACTCATGAGTTCACAAAAAAATTACATATGTGTGGGCCTACATGTCCAAAATTTTGCGTAACATTTAAACCCCATTCTTTGGTCGTTAAATCTCAGACGATGGGCGTCTTGTACAGCCAAAACAATTTTCAATGACAAATTGAGAAAAACACTTACAAAAGTTACAAAACATTCAAATCTCCATGCAC